GGGGGGGGGGGGGGGGGGGGGGGGGGGGGGTGGAGTGCGCCATCGATAGTACATACGTACGTATGCGTATGTGTACCAGTTAGATACAAAGTTGAGAGTCAGGAACCTTGATCTGAACAAGACGTGGATGGTGCCCCCCCCCCATGGTTGCCGCCGCCAGGACCGGGTAGATCGTACGTTTGAACATGTGAGTGAGACCGATGCATCTGACATAATGTCTATGCATACAATGCTTGAACGTCACCGGGCCCCGCCCTTTCCCCCCCCTCAAAGGGACCTTTCAGGAGAGAGAGAGAGTGTGTGTGTGTGACACGAACAGATAATCTACCACGACGTTGAGGACAGCCGGTAATTCTTAGAAGATTGAGGATTTTAGGGTTCCGGGGGAACAAGCAGAGCACAGTCAGCACTAGAAAACAAGAGCGAAGTTGAGCGAAACTCGTCGCAACGGCTAATTACCGCTAATAAAAATGTCGCGCGGCAAAGAAAAAAAAACGGTCAGCTAGCGGCTTTTGGTCGTTGAGTCGCTCGCGACTAGGTTTGCTGCCGGTGAAGCCCTTACATAGTACGTACATAGATAGTACGACTAGGCGGATGGGTGTTCGGAAAACTACGTTCCGACTAGGTCCTACCCCGGAGTTGTTACCGCGTCACGCACCCACATTTAGCCCTGTGCCTGTGGAAATAATGGCTAGTCGTCTTCCATGGCGAGGCCATGTCTGGCTAGTACTGCGAACACCCGCAACGCAACACGTAGCTGTATGGACCTTAAGAGACACGAAACACTGAAATGCAACTTGACCCCTGGAGCATGCGATTCATTGTTCAGCACGGTAGGCTCCCCCATTCGTACATTCGCAAGGTGGGATTGTTGAATCCAGCACACCTGTCACCATGGATCCAGTCTGCCTTGGTGGCACATGCGGCTCTGGGTGCCCATGGGGTTGCGCTTCATCGTCTGTGCCATGTTGGTGCGGCAACGCCCAATCCAATCAGATAGTGTTGTAACCGAATGACCGGCTGGAGCGGATCAGAGTGTCAGAAATGCTTACTTAACTGGAGACATGGTTTGCTTCACGAAGAAACCAAGAGTTGCTTAAGTGGTGGGTACCAGTTCAAGCGCCCACGAAAGACATGTTGCGGTGTGAGACTCGCGGCGTCAACTGTCAGCATGATGAATGCTGATATATATCTGCTGCGGTCCATGGCGGATGCTGTGGGAAATACGATTTTCGCATCCATATAAACAGAGAAGCCCTCCCCCCCCCCAAGCAAAATGAGGCAAACACACATAGCTCTGTACCGATTGCCGCGCTTCATGACGTTACTGTGCCCAAGCCTCTGCGATCTGATCGGGAACTAGGCGGCTAAACAACTACACAACAACAACAAGGCCGTAGCGAAAGTGCCGGACCAGCCACCGAAGCTGGGCGCTTGGGATCTTGCTTTTCTTGATCCAGCCTACCTTCAGGCCCGCACAGTTGCTAATGCAGCCCGTTTTGACCCCGGGCAATGCCACTGGGAAGAGCATGTGGTCCCACCTCAGGTCGCAGGGTAGCTCCGAGATCCTGCCGGCCCTCTCCGTGCCCAAGCAGCAGCCGCACCCCCCCTAGGGCAGCCAACAGTTTCACGGCGCGGGTGGGTTGCACAGTATCCGAGAGAGGAGCGGAGTGGTGCGTGTCGGGCGGGCGGGCGGGCGTGATGGCGGGATTCGGTGGTGGTGGTGGTGTGTACCGTGGCATGGCGGGCGAAGCGAGAGGGCGGGGGCTGTAGGTGCGTGTAAGTAGTGGAGTGTAGGTGCGGTGCAGGGACGTGGGATAGTGGGTGTGGTATGCAGAGGCGGCACAAAGTGCATCATGCGTCTTCCCGTTTCTTTCAGCTTCTGGCAAGTGGCCGCCCAGGACCGGGCATGCTACTCGGTCGCTTGGACCATCGAGGAGGCAGAGTGGGGCGATAAGTGGGCAGTGGAAAAGGCTTGTCCCCCCCTCCCGGCCGCCAGCAGTGGCCGCGAGGACAGCCAGCGGCGGATCAGTCAGACAAACGAGTCGCCTTCCCACTCTTGTGCGTGTCGCGTCGTCATGCGCTACCTGTCAGACAACGGCGGCTTCCAACCACTTGCTGGTCTTGCCCACGCGGGGTCTGTCGATCGCCCGCATTAGCCGCCTGCACTCTGCACTCTCTCCCGGAAAGTGTCGCGGAGCGTGGATAGCCGAAGTAAGCAGCCAGCAGAGAATATAGTTGCACGCCCATGTTGCCGTGCAAGGCGAAGCCGTTGGCCATGTCTCCATGTGCATGTGTGTGCGCATGGCAGGACTGCCTCTGGTGCTCCCGACACGGCGCGAGGGGCGACATGCACCTCAGGGGTAGCGGTTGAGGGGGAGGGGGGCTGGCGAGGATTGCGGCTGCCAGGGCGAGGGCGAGGGCAGGGCGAGGGCAGGGCGAGGGCAGGGCGAGGGCAGGGTGAGGGTGAGGGTGAGTGCGAGTATTGGCTAAATGGGCGACCTGACAGCCATATGGTCGCGAGCATGCAGCCGTGACGTTGGTGTCTGTCTCGCGACGAGATGAGTTATTGATAGACGGCTGTCGCTTGTTGCGTTGGCGGCTGGCTGTGCGGGCACGCATGCTTTTTTGGGTTTCGAGGGAGGGGGGAGGGGGGGGGCAGATCTGGAGAGAAGGGCTAGTAGCAGCACACGAGAAAGCAAAGCACAAAGACTCTGTGTCAAAAGCATGGCGCCATGATCAAGGCAGCAAAATCTCCGCGCCGGCAGCTGCCTCTTGGGGACGCGCCGCCAAGCCCTGCCAGGGCAAGGCTCCCTCCTTGTGCCTACCAACCCACACCACGCACGCATTGCCGCATCCAGGCCACGTGACCATGAACTGCGTGGCTGAGGTGGCGCCCCCCCCCCAAGTCAGTCATGGAACTGGGGGAGATTTGGCGTTGGCGTTGGCATTGTCATTGAGCCTGATGGCGCCGTCACGGTAGGGTTAGTTCTACGCTCGGCTACCTATCCGATTCACCATGCGGGTAGGCCAGTGCACCCGTAGATCTGGCCTTCGTCATCCAGCCCTCGCCTCCTATTCACTCGCTGCCTGTTGGCAGGGCACATTTTCTGGCCAAAAAAGAAACCACACGCAGGCGCTTTCATCTAATGGCACCGAATCATCGCTCTCCGATACCACGCTCGGCCTCTTCTGGCCAGCAATTTTTTTCGTGCAGCCCGCATTTTCATGCCCTGGCGGGTGGCTTGCAAAAAGGCACACGACACGGCCAGCGACACCACCACTACGCTGCCTAATGAGGTCATCATGGTAAAATGTAAAAGCCACTTTGGCGCGGGCGAGGTTCGGCGTATTGTCTACGTCTTGGAGCCGGCAACTATCGTGTTGGTGTCCAGCTGCAAAGCCCATGGAGCCCTTCTGGCTCACAGCCCAGTACGTATGATTGGCAGTTGAACCAATGCAACATGTCCATGTATCGATGCCCTATGGATTGGTTTTTCGAGGCGGTCAAGTTTCATGCACATGTCAAGTCCATGTCAGACGTCAAGGATGCCCAATTGGCCACGCTCGACCATTACCGCTGAGCACTGTTCCTGACTCCGCCTTACCTGAGAGGCCATGGAATATCTATGTGTATGCCTATCAATCCACGGCAACCATCCATCTGGAGTGTCGACGTTTAGTGCAACACGCCATCAGTGCCGCAGCATGTCTCACAAGAGATCCACATAGTCATCGATCCTCCCACCCCCCCGTGATTCAAGGGACTGTCAAAGCATATCTTACCTGTGCAGCAAGTATTGCGACGGCCCAGGCAACGCGAGGTGCCCAAGTGTTGGAAGGGCGATTAACTTTTGCTGTATGCATGGACGATGGTGTGGGGAGCCAGGTGTGTTTGGACGTGCGTCGGGCTGCTCTCTGCGCAATCCAGACTGGGCTCGTGGTGTATCAAATGGATTCAAAACATGTCGTGTTCGTTTCTTCGGCTGTGGTTGGGCATGGTGACGCCAACACAACAGAGGCTCGCGGATGGGCAGCCTGGCGCTTGAAACAAACCACGGGCGCGTTTCGCATGCGGCGCGCAGGCACGCGTCGAGTCGAGAGGGCGAGGCGGGCAGGCGGGCAGGCAGTGGGCATTGCAGCAGCCCGCAACGGGAGCCGGCTAGAGAGGTCGAGGGCGTTTCAGAGCCAAAGTATGCCATGGCGCATGTCCCCAGGTCACTGGACCTTCCGCATTCGTGGCTCAGGAAATGGGGGGCGGCTCGCTAACCGGCACGGCTTGGCCCCTGGGCCCACATGGCTTAGGTAAGTTTCACGTGGCTACGGTTCATGACGGACCACGACCCCCAAGCCCAGACTCGCTGAGTGGCGTTTTTGCGTGCCGATGTCCTTTCTGGTCGTGGTGCTCCGTGGAACCCCAGCGACACACAAAGGGCGGCTGTCGACGCGCCTCTCGTCACACTCGACAGTGCGGTTCGGTGGGCCCGGGCTGGGCCAAGAGCAAGAGGGGGGGGGGCTCCGCGCAATCAGTGCCTGTACTCGAGGGCGCGGGCAGGGCGAGGGCGCGGGCAGCAGGTGCGCGGCAGTCGAGATGCTAGACCAGAGGCCTGGTCCCGCAGGCTGCGGCGGCGACGCGATCCCGGCCGCCAGCCTAGGTGGACTAGGTGTAGGCGCCAGCAAATGATCGGCTCTTGTCAGATTGCAGGCCGCGGCAGGGATGCACTGGGTGACACGAGCTTTCTGCCGAGGACGCGGGAGCGGAGGACAATTTGCGTCAGCGACGCACGCCAAGCCACGCTAAGCAGACGACCGGAAGCTTCAGATGTGGAGGTGTGTCTGCCGCTTTGGCGGCGCTGATCCGTCGTTAATCATGACACCCTGCTCCTCGTGCGCCACCGTGCCACCGTAGTCAGAGTACCAGGGAGCCTGCCCGGTGCCGGTACCCTGAGCCCAGCCTTTTTGACATCGACTGTCAGCACCCGTAGCACTATCTCGTCGCCGTGCAGCGCGTGCAAGCTGTGTTTCCGCACTGTCGCAGTCGCGGTCGCAGCCGTCCTGCCATGCTGCCCCTCTGCCACACACCCACGCCCTCGACACCACCATCACCACCACTACCGCCACCCCTCGCTGTCGCCCTCGCCAGCCACCGTCGCGGGCGCTGCTGCGTGTGTCGAGCCGAGTGGCTGCTGCAGCCTGCTCAGCAGGACACGCAGCGCCGTAGGGCGGCCGCCATGGCATTGTCGCGACAGCACCATGACGCCCGTGGGCCCATGGGGGTTGATCCAAACATAAGCCAGACGCGGCGGCGAGGGTGTAGTAGTGGTAAGGGGCGGGGAGAGATACAAGACCACACGTCTGGACGTTCTGGGGGCGTTTGGCACAGAGGTGCAACCATGCTGCTGGACACCAGGCACCAAGCCGCATCCTGACAGCACCCAGTGGCGCCTCGTGCCGATGCTATATACATAGGTGCTGCAACACGGGCGAAATAAGATTGATGCGTGCTCCAGAGGAGGCGCACATAGCGCAATGACGGTAGCGTAGCCAGCAGAACCAAGCAGCGGAGCCGGCTGAACCTGGCACGAACGCTACCGGATCGCCCACGTCGTCGTTTCCTGGCAGGGCTGCCGCAAGCACGCCGGGCGGGCAGCGCGCTCTCGCTGGGATACGCGAGGCCTGCAAGCAACAGGCGGCTCGCCATGGTGAGCAGGCAGGAAACAGGCGGGCTCTCGGGCGCAGGCGCAGGCGCAGGCGCAGGCGCAGGCGAGGGCGAGGGCAGAGGGCAGAGGGCAGAGGGCAGAGGCGCAGGAACAGGGTGTGTGGGCGCATAGGCAGCGCGTGGGTGGTGGTGATGCTGGGCACGCAATTTGCTGGCAACGGGTCGCTCAAAGAAAGAGCGGACCCCGGTGTGGCTTGCACTAGCGCGCTTACCAGGATATCGTCGACCCATGGTCCCGCACAGATGTAAGTCCACACCCATCCTGGGCGCAGCCGGTAACCCTAACCCACAGAGAAAGAGCGTTGGACCGCCCTGCCCCTTCCTTCTTCGCTCGTCTGCTGCTTCCTCACTTGCTTCTCCTCCACGAGGCTGCATCCTGCTCCAGCCCTCTCTCTCTCTCCCTCTGCCTCGAAGCCCACCCCAGTGCCCAACACCCAACTGCCCCCCTCTGGTCCATTGTCTACCTCTCGCCTGATCCAGCTCGGGGTCCACATCGTCCGTGTTCCTCTGCGCGCTGCTGTCGTTCTCCGCGCCAGCCTCTCCACGCCTCGACACGCACCCGCCGGCACGCCCTGCAAGACGCGCGCCCACCGCCCGCCTGTGAGCTCCTCTCCATCACACCCATCAAAACCCATCCTCAGACTGACGTCGACAGACACCCTGGCGCCCGTCCTGCTGCCTTTCGCCTCGACTTGTGCACTATCAACCGCCCTGTCACCGCCGCGGCCCAGGTAGCGCAAACGTCGCATTGTAGGCAGCTCCGTCGCAGGAAGCCGTCATGGCCCAGCACCAGCAGCCCTCGCCCACTACGGGCATGTCGGCACACCACGTAGCCCAGCACCCCGCGCATGCGCAGGTAAATGGACACCCGCCGCATGCGAACCAGCCCAAGACGCCCTCGCAGTACCTGGGGCAGTTGACCGAGGCCGTCTGGACACAGATGGGTAAGCCATACATTGTCGCGCGCCCTCTCGAGCTTGGAATTGACACGCAGCAGGCTCCCTGTCTGAGCAGATGCAGGACTACGATGGGGCCATGCAATGCTACGAGCAGGCGCTCAAGTTCAACCAATGGTCTGTTCCCGCCATGCAAGGCATTGCCTGCATCCTGCGCACCAAGGATGCTTTCCCCCAAGCTGTAGAATACCTGCGCACCATCCTGAAAGTTGACCCCACAAACGGCGACGTCTGGGGCAGCCTCGGTAAGCCATCACGCCGCGGCGCCCTCTCTTCAATGCGACGCTAACAGGACTAGGCCACTGCTACCTGATGATGGATGACTTGCAGCAGGCCTACTCGGCCTACCAGCAGGCTCTGTACCACCTGTCTGACCCCAAGGTATGTTCACAGCTGATTCCCAGCCAGCCCGACCGACTAACGTCCTCTAGGAGCCCAAGCTTTGGTATGGCATTGGTATCTTGTACGACCGCTACGGATCCTTGGAGCATGCCGAAGAAGCCTTCTCGCAAGTCATGCGTATGGAGCCGACGTTCGAGAAAGCCAACGAGATCTACTTCCGTCTCGGCATAATATACAAGCAGCAGCAAAAATTCAACCAGAGTTTGGATGTAAGTATGCGTGGAGCCTGTGCTGCAAGCGAAATTCTAATTGTGCGATAGTGCTTCAAATACATTGTGACCAACCCTCCTCGCCCACTGACGGAAGAGGACATCTGGTTTCAGATTGGGCACGTGTACGAACAGCAGAAAGAGGTTTGTAGCACCCAAGCTTGTCATCGCTCATCAGCTGACCCATGAGCTAGTTTGAAGCGGCAAAGGGCGCTTACCGCCGGGTCCTTGAGCGTGATCCCAACCATGCAAAGGTGCTTCAGCAGCTGGGATGGCTCCACCACCAGCAGAGCACCAACTACGCAAGCCAGGAACAGGCCATTGAGTATCTCGAGAAGTCGGTCGCTTCGGGTGAGTCTTGTAACCGAGCGTGGTCACGCGCGTGTCGCTAATTCCTTGGTTCAGACCAAACCGACGCACAAAGTTGGTACTTGCTCGGACGCTGCTACATGTCACAGCAGAAGTACCCCAAGGCGTACGAGGCGTATCAGCAAGCTGTATACCGTGACGGCAGGAACCCGACCTTCTGGTGCAGCATTGGTGTGCTGTACTACCAGATCAACCAGTACCGCGATGCGCTCGACGCGTACTCTCGCGCCATTCGCCTGAACCCCAACATTTCCGAAGTGTGGTACGACCTTGGAACACTGGTAAGTAAAAACGCATTGCTCGCAGATTCGCAACGCATCACTAACAATGCCGCAGTATGAGTCTTGCAACAACCAGACGGCTGATGCCCTTGACGCCTACCAGCGCGCAGCCGACCTCGACCCATCCAACGTACACATCAAGGCTCGCCTTCAACTCTTGCAGAATGGACAAACATCTGCTGGTGCGCCAAACCAGGGCAATGCCCCCATACCTCAAGACGTACATCCCCAGGCTTATCAGCCTGCGTCTGTTCATGGTCCCGCTGCTCCACAGTGGGGTGCTCCACAGCCTCAGCAGCCGCCTCAAGGCCCTGCTCCTCCAGCTCTGGCGGCTGGCTGGGATCGCCCTCTTGCACAGATCCGCGACCCAGGTCTGCCGCCCCAGCAGTTGAATCCATACGAGCAGCGTGAGGGCATCCGCCCCCCAACGCAACATGCTCCTCAGAGACCTGCGAGCCCGAGGCAGGAACCACCTAGGTCCTACGCGGAGCCTCCCCGCCCTCCCACTAGTGGCCCTGGACCTCCACCACCAGGCCCGGGACCGATGCGCCGCGGCATGTCTCCATCTCCAAAGACGCATCATGTGGCTCCCAGTCCCTACCATCCTCAGCAGCCGCCGCAGCTCACGCCGCAGGCAGCTCATGCGCAACCACAGCCACCTGTGCACCAACAGCCACCCCAGCAGCCACCCCAGCCTACCCGTATCTCGAACCCCAACTACGGACCTCATGCTGGCAGTGTTCCGCCCCCACCACCCCCACCACCTACCGGTCTCGGGGGTCCGCCAAGTCAGGCTTCTACACAAGGTGCTGTGCCTCCGTACAGTGTTCGTCCCAGCAGCCCTGCCCCCGAAGTTCGCCCTTTGGTGGAGAACCGAACCACGTCGCCGCGTAACGGATATCAGGGCCCATACCAGCACCACGCCGACCCTTCTACTGGCGGTGGCATTGCTGGCGGAGCCCCAGCCCCAGCATCAGCTCAAGCTGCTGCCGAGCAAGCTGCTCGCGATCGTGACGAGCGCCCTCCTACCGCACCACCAAAAAGGCATCGCGAGTGGGAAGACACTGAGCACATCAGCGCAAAGCCGCCTACCAATGACGAGAAGCGTCAGAAGATTGAAGAGCCTCACAGCCGTCGCCCCACGCCTCCACACCGCATGTCATCGCCTCAGGTGCCGCGTCAGAGCCCACAGGATGGACCTGACCCCAGACGGTTCAACGATGGTTACCACCCATCGGAGGCTGCTCACCACCCACCTTCGCTCCCTCCTATGGCTACTGCTCGACCATTGTCGCGCATGTCTGAGACGTCCAAGGCCGAGCGACCCGAGCATCACGAGCCAGCCGCTCGCCACATGGACGTGGACGAGAATTACGACGACGAGGGTGAAGAGGCCAAGCCGAGTGCGGCAAAGTCTGAGCGAAGCAGCCCACGCACAGCGCCGACGAACGGCGTGACTCACGCTCCTGCACCGGTTGAGCAGAAGCCGTAGGAGGCGTTGTGCTGTGGCACGAGTGGGGCGATAGGGCAGCTGGGTCAGTTTCAAACGACTATAGTATTTCCTTGTTGAAGCAATGTTGGTTGTGTGGATTGTGTTGGGATGACGTTTGTTTGGTTGTTTGATTTGGGGAGTTTTTAATTTCCTTTTTTTTGACGAAGGGGGTAGGGTTGGGCCATGGATTTGTAGTTGGATTGAGATCAAAGTAGAAGCTGGGGGACGTGGTAACGCTCTCCTGCACGGCGATGATACCCTGCGCATTATATTGGACCCGCGTTTCGGCGGGGTTTGTATGTATTTTGTAATCACCCAAGAATGTCAAAGCATGTATTCGTATACAGCACGTGGTTGGAATGTGAGTGTGTGTGTGTGTGTGTGTGAGTGAGTGCACATGATGAGATGGTCAAGGGCGGAAGGTGGGGGTGGGTTGGGCTGACTTGGCGGGCGTTTTGGGTGGGCGTGTTTGGGTCTTGCGTCATGGTGCGGCAAGATCAAGGAAGGCTCAACAGCCATGAGGATGCGGGGGCAGCAACAGCATCTACTCACGACTTTGCGATTCTTGTTTGGCGACGGATTTCCGAAGCGCTTGCTCGGTAACAAAACAAAGCAACAAAGAGACTACTACGACTACGGCGGCGTGCTGCGTAGTGGTAGGGCGAGGCTAAGCAAGGAGGACCTGCACCCAAGGTTAGCTGTCGACAGCTTTCAGGCTTCGGGGACGGCGGTACCACAAAGTCGATTCGGCGGACATTTGGGCACAGGCTACATACAGGCCATGTCTTCGGACGCAGACTACGCGGCGTTTCTCGATAAGGCGAACCAAGATATGGGGACAGCGGAAGCGAAGGAGGCGTCGGAGAAGACGAGCTATGGGACCAAGAGTGTAAACACAGCAGTGCCTAGCGCGCTGAAGGAGGTGCAAGAGTACTACGTCAGCGACTCGGACGAGCCATTTGAGCCGGTAGCGCTGGAGTATGGAGGGAACAGTGTGTCTAGCGGTAAGAAGAGAGTGGTTGCTGGCACCTCTCAGGAGCAGAAGCTAACGGTGAGCGACAGAGGATCTTCAAAAGGCGATTGGCAGCGACAAGGTGGAAGAGGTCACGGGGACGGGGTTCCAGGATCAGTACAAGAAGGTGATTGACGTGGTCAAGCAGGCAGGCAACGGCAGCGTCAAGGTGTTCCGGGTTGAGCTGTCGGGGACACGGGCAGAGTACTACGTTGTGACGGTGGACGACAAGGCGGGCAAGCTTGTGGGGCTCAAGGCACTTGGGATTGAATCGTAGTGCGGGTGTGCATGGTCGGGGCAAGAGGATGAAGGAGGGCGATCAGTGGGCACATGAAGGCGGTTGAAACGGCAGACAGGCTGGGACTAGGGTGGGAGATGGATACAACGGTGATGAGTGCTAGTGGAGCATGTAATGCAGACCAGAAATGAAGCAGCGCCTCGATGGCGATTATTGGAAAGGCGTGCACACAGACATGTGGCTGCAGCAAGGTTTGGGCTGAACCAGGGCAGCGAGCATGGGGTTTTGTTGACATGGCGTGGTGGCCGTGCGGTGCAGGCACTAGGGACGGGAACCAAGTCGGCAGCGGGATATGTAAGTGCACATGTACTGGTACTGTATGCACATGGCGATGGGGGGTTTGGTGGTGTGGCAGTACGGGGTGGGTAGTGTGTATGTGTGTATGCAAGTATGTGTGGGTGCATGTAGCTTGCCGCGATGGTGCAGGCAGAGGGCGGCGAGTCGAGCCAATTGCAGGCAAGCCTCGGGGGCGGAGGCGGACATGGCCGGGCTAAGCGGTTGGCGCCGCGCATGCACATGGAATAGATGGTTGGGCATAGACATGCAGTAGATGCGCATGTCAAGCTCGTATCCATCGAACCGGCGCCAGACAGACAGACGGACAGGCAGGCAGGCAGGCAGGCAGGCAGGCATGGAAGCAGATTCAGGCATGGACAAGGGCCGGGGAATGATGGCCATGTGAATGGTCATGATGTCAGTCGCGTACTGCATGCGCTGGACGGGCACATGCACACGGGCAGCGGGCGTGCTGAGGGCGGCATGGGGTGCCGGCTGGCCAGAGCCCTTGGGGGGGGGGGGGGGGGGGGGGGGGGGGGGGGG